GTATTATGCCACCCCTCACCTTTGCACATATTCTGTTACTCTGCTCTGGCCTAAGAACCAAAATGAATCCAACAGATTTAAAATACAGACAAAAGTCAACCCATACAGTTTATTTCCTCCATTTTTCATGATGATCCTAAACTACGGCAGTGTCACATGCAGCAGTGCTATATACATTAACATATTAGTATAGCTGGCTGCAGCATTTGCCAAAGAACTGGACAGATTAAACAGAAATTTTGATGAAGGTAGGTCAGAATGATTAATTTTGAAGTGCCAAGTGAGCATTTACTTGATAAAGTGCAGTTAGCAGTTATATTCTGGAATTTCATAGCAAAAATACCATGTCAAAAGCCAACTGACAGTAATTTTAAACAGCAGCTGTTTAGAATATGACAGAGTTTTGCTTAGTACAGAGAAGGAGAATTTAAAAAAGCCATGAAAACAGGAATCTCCAAAGCACAGAATATAGAAACTTTCAATTCACTGAATAGTTAAAGGACTTTGTTTGTAGTTGGAGCACGTTTGAAATCAGGAAAAAGTCAATCCATGTGGAACTGGACTTCGGACAATACAGTCCCAGTCTGGCCTGAGATACTTTCTGTCTACCAGGACCAGCTGGGGTGTTAGGTCTCCTCTTTTCATCACAGCCTTGTCCTGGGGACTGGTCCATATTTCCTCACCCTCATCCTGCCCACAACACATTTTATTTGGTGGCAAATTACATCCTGCTATAGAGAGAAATTTCTTTTGATAGGTTTTACCCTGCTTCTCCCTATGAGTCTCCATTTTATAAAAGGCTTAAAGAGCACAGATATCTGTGTAGAAATGTCTTATTGTACATGCACACTTTTTAGTCTCTAATAAGAAAAATGCTGATCATACAATGTTAGCAAAAAATAAAATTACATACTTGATTGCACAGTTGGGTGAGATTCTGATATCTGTAAGAACTCAGGAACCCTATAGTCACTAAAGGGTGGGCCTTCAAAGCTATTTCTGATTTTACACTGAAAGAAACTGTTCAGGTTTTTTTCATGACTTGGAAACAGCTCTGAGGGATAAAAAAATAAAGGACCTCTCAATAAAGTAGCTACTCTAAACCTTTAACTCTCTCATTTTTAAATCCAGTTATACACTTGTGCCTCCTTCAGTGCCAGGAGAGAGGTTCACGTGAGCTGCTAGCAGTCGCTTTATCCTTTTAGGTTTGTTCCTTTGTTTTCATCTCTGCAAAACATGTAAAAAGCCATGTGCACTGGGTCTTGTGGAATATATATATAAAAATACACACACACACATATATATATTTCTATATAACTAAGTTCCACTTCTTTCAATATATGTAGTAATAAAAACTATTTTAGAATGCCTGAAACAAATTATAAGAAGAAACTAAACTTTAACAGAACCACAGACACTGACACAAGGAGCACTATGGTTCTTTTAACTTCATTCTTACTTCTTATCTAGAACTTGTTACATAGAACATGTTTCTCATATAGAACTTCAGCTAACATTTTCACCTCCTGAACACAACTTTTGTTCACCTATAGCACATCTCTTAGAAAACCACATAGTCTTCATGCAAGGATTTCCAGGATTTTCTAGGAAGAAAATAAACTGTATCCCAGCTGAAACCAGGACACAAAGGATGAGATCACTATATAAATGGGCAGTGGATATTTCCAGCAGTCACTTTGGAGAAATCCCTGTCTGATAAAATGGAAAGTATAGAGCCCCTTACTACACAGGGTACATAATTCTCCTTTCCCTAGGACAATTTCCTGAGCAGCTCTTTCTTAGCCTAATGTGTTTTCTCCTTCCTAATTTTATTTTTTATGATATCTGGTATAATAAGGTTCCTGTTATAACCCCTGTGAATAAAAAAAAAATGCATCATGATTTATAAATAGATATGGCAAAAGGGAAAGCTTTTCTGGGAAGTATGGAGTACAAATACAGAATTGTGGCAGCTTTGTGCTAACAGTAACTTTTTTGGTCTTAGTTAAATGTTTAGTTGCTGTATTTTTCTTTCCCTTTCTTTTTCAATCTACAAAACTAACAAAAACGAATGTCACATGCATCAAAAATTGGTCTCTTACCTACTATCACTAGAAATTACCAATGTTACACGTTCAGCTTATGTGAATTTATCCACCACTCATTTGAGAAAAAGATGTTAAGTCTATGTTGCAGTGATCTAAAGCTGCATCAGATGCAAAGCAGAGTCTTGTGCTGGCTATGGAGGGATTGAAATCCATTTGTCCCCATTCCCACCCCTGAAACTGCCCTCAGGTTGCCATGCAGGCAATGCCTTGGCTGCTTGTGCCATGGTTACATCCCAGCATAGTGCCACAAGCTGTTCAGCCTCTGATACACACAGCAGGGGAATTGCTGCTGGATCCTGCTCTTTGAAGAATCAGCTCTCCAAAACATAACTTCCTGCTTGCTCATCAGTAAACATACTGCTTAAATTATTACTCAGCTTAGCTCAGGATCACGTATCTCAGGGACAGATGAAGCAGATCGACTTCACCAGATCAGCTAAGTGCTGTTTACACAGTAGCACTGAAGAAGCCTTTGGAAAAGTTTGTAGAGTGTTGTGCTGTTTGGCACAACTGAGGTCATGAAAGCCTGGATCTCAGACTGTCAACACAGGTGTGATTCAACATCTTCAAGATGTCACCTATATAGTTTAAAAGACTTCTGTTAAATAAATGTAGCCAGAACCTCCTTTACAGCATCTATACTTTAAACCTTGGCTGGGGTGACAGAAACGGGGAAGCTCATACCTATGACATGTAGGAAAGGCAGCACTGTAATTGATATGCTGTCTAACAGGGAACTAATGTAAATCTTTCAGCAAAGGGGAAATATGCTTTGAATGTTTACTTTGAGTGATAAGACCTCCTGATACATTTTGAACCTGCTCAGCTCTGTAAAGAGCCTTGCCAGGAAAGCCTGCGAGCATTAGTGGAATGAGTGGTCAAAAAACCCTAAACTGCCATTCCTACTTGAATATAGAATGCATAGCTGGGCAGTGTGCTAAATGGAGTCTTTAACTCAGAGACTAATATTTCCTAATGTTTATTTAAGAGCTCATAGTGTTGGGAATTGCTGAGTATAGGTATCATGTTATTCCTATTAATGGGAATGAAGAATAACACAAAAGAAGTTAAGAAATTGTTGAGTTTCCTCCAGCAGAATCTAATCCAATTTCCATTTTAGCAAGAAGCAGCTCAGTTCTGTAACACTCAAGCAGATATATTGCTTTTTTAAAGAACTAAATGTGGGTTTCTTTATATTTTAAAATTGCATCAAAAATATGAAATGGAAAGATGTCATTTTCCTTAAAACATTTTATTAAATATTGCTGTTTGAAACTTTTTTGTTCGGGGTTTTATGAAAAGCATGTAACTTTACTCAGTTATGGCTGAGAGGAGCATTGTTTAAAGAAAATGCCTGAAACAATATCTCTGGAGTCAATGGAAGGATTTGCACTGGCTCCCTGGGCATTTGATCAAACTTTCATTCAGAAAATATTTTTCTCCACCAACATACTTAAGCTGTTAAAATTAAAATGCAATTGAAGCAATTACATAAATAAGAGTGACAAATGTTTCTTTTCCTAAGTGCAAGAAGGTGTAGAGCACAATCAAGGTTATTCTCCAGGAGCCGCGATCTTTACATACATGAGCAGTGCTGAAAGAGCCCAGGACAAAAGCAACAAAACATTACAAATCTGAAACAAGATTAGCCCAGTTTACAACCTGCTGTGCAAACAGATCTACAATGTCAGCTCTTTGAACTGCCCCAGCTATTATCACAAGCTGCTGTTAACACAAATACACATGGGACATCATGAGCACAAACCCCAGAAATATGTCACCTTTGTATGTTTAAATGACAAAGTTCTGATGCTGTTGTCTGTGATTGATCAGTTAAGCAAGTAATTCTATTTTAAAAGCTCATCTACCAACTGCCTTCCTTTAAAGTGCATTCTACACACTACTATATTATATGAAGTACTATGTTCTACTGTAAAGTAGTAACTTCGCTGGAATTACACTGATGTTTTCAACAAAAATCTGATGCAAGTCTATGAGAAAGTTGCAGGAAAAAAAACAAGTTTAAGCCTTTTAAAAGACAGATGTTTTGATGAGCTTTCCACTGTTATATATCCAAAACCTAGCTCAAACCTTCAATACTCAGCATCCTGCTGTTGCTACTAACACACCATCCAAATTCAGATGAGCAGAAAATTACCTCAATTCTTTATAACATTTCTGAAAATATGGATTTAAAGTATGAAGCCCACAGCTGCAGCAGCTCAGCAGCTTACATCAAATACACACACATAAAACAGAGAGAAGTTAGAGAATCTATTATTTGATAATGACAACCTCTGATCGCCAGCTCCTGGATTTTTCTTCTGATACTTTCAAATGCTCAGTGTTTACTCCCCTCTATCAATAAAAATCTGCAAAATATTCATTATGGAGGTTTTCTCTAGGATGTAAAATCCTCAGCTAATACAAACAGATGCTGGTTTACAGCTAAGAATCAGATAGAAGAGTTCTGTTCTGATGGCAATGAAGACTATTTTTGTGGTTTCTAATAATTTCAGTTTGAAACAACTGTATTTTCACTGGCAGTCTGTGATCCTGTACTGACAGGTACAGTTTATTCATGACTTCTCCAAATCTCTTTTTGTATGTATTCGTCCCTTTAATTTTCTCCTGCTTCACAATGAAATAAAACTGAAGAGCAAAAGCCACCTGAAATTAGTATTGAGTAACATAACTGAAAACTCAATTTGTATTTTTTCTTTACCTCCCAATAATGTTATTTCTACTTTTTAATGTCTTTTAAAAAAATTTTTACAATGACCTTCCTTGAGATTCTTCTGTGTACACACAGCTCACTACAAGAAATCACTGTAACATGCAGCTCTAAAATCGTCCAGCATCTGCTAGATGTAAGGCTGCATATTTTCCTACCTTCATCTCATGTTGGTCGCCTGCACCGGAATCCTGCTGGAGACGCAGGAAACAATACTAAGAGCAACAGCATTAGAGCTTCTTTCTCAAGAGCCAGCCGGCAAGCTGTGTAGTGTGCAATACAATGATGGAAAGGCACAGCACAAAGAGGGTTTCGACACTACTATTTCAGCATGAGAAAACAAAAAAAAATTAAATATTAGCTTGTTGGTTTGTTTTTTTTATTTTGACACTAGAAAGGTCAGACAATTCATTGTGTGTGGCTCAGTTTTTAAGCAAACCAATTTCAGAAATGTATTTGAACAGTCACTGTTGTAATGGTTTTTACTGAGCTTAAGAGAAATTGAAGTTTAGTGGCTCTTTCTGTTCAATATATAGCTGCGTAAAAATTAACTGTACCCATTAGTCCAAATGCGGCTTTGTGGGAAATAGATTGGAATAATGACTTTATAAATGACTGACAGATTTCATTACTGACCTGTGTTGAAGGAAATTATTGGAGAGGTTTGAAAACCTCTTTCCAGATTCCCATGCAATTAGCATGCAGCACTGCACCTGCCTGATCTCTGATGAACAGCCATGCTCTCAGAGCTCTGCTATTGATTTGACTTCTCTTGACTGGAAGGTATGAGTATTTGGAAACAAAGTAGGTATGGTGGAAATGAAACAAATAGCCAGCTCCTGGTGATATCAATAAAAGTGCACCGAGGTTGGTGTAGTTGCTTTGTGCAAACTACCCTATAGTTCCATGATTTGGTCCTTAATACAAACAATCAAACTTGCTTTCACTACTCCACAGCTCACAGGGATCATTCAACCAGTGCTAATACTGACCAAGTCATGGTGTCACCTGAACTTCCAAGAGGAAGAATTTTAGCCAAGAATTATGATCTAGTTCTTGATAAACTTTTACTATATTTAGAAGGAAATCATGCCAGCATGCAAACCTGGCACCAGTTATTTCAGTTTCTACTGACTGAGCTGACTGAGTTACCTTAATGCAAGTGAAAGCCAATGGCTCTGCTCATTCCTTGCCCCTGCCTCTCCCCCAGGTTCTTTTTACCCCATGAATCTTTATTCAAAATAGAGGAAAAGGACATATTAGAACACATACACATGATGGCTAATGCAAATAAGAGATGCTCGCAACTGGACTGGCATCAATTCTCTGTAAAGAAAATACTAAAAACACAATCAGGGCAAGCGACCAGTACAAGTTAGCACATTTCACAGACATGCAGGGGCCACACGCCACTAGATGGCAATGCACGGTGAAACAGAAATAACCTGGATTTTACGCACGCTGCGTGAGTGAAGCCTTCTCTGTAACAGCACCACGAGTGTTCCTTCTGCGGCGCTCCGTGTGATTCTTGTGAAGAAGTTACACATACTCTTTCATGCTGCAGTAAGGATTTATTGCAGTCCGGGAACTGAATAAATTACCTAAGTGCAAGTAAAGAGGCAGAAGGAGCCGTAAAATGCTCAGAGAGCCTGCTAACTAGTTGATAGGTTTAGTTTTCATGAAACAGCTCAAAATAAATCATTATTTTATTTCGGTGCAGTTCTGTTGTTATTATTATTAGAAGCATCTGCAAAGCACAAAACAGGCTGTAAGTCACACAGCACATGTTTGACATTGATCAAAACCCCAGATCCTGTGATTTTTTTAATCACTGCAGTCTACACTATTAGCAACCAGGTGATTTGCATGCAGAATTTTGCAACAAGTGATAGAAAGAAAAGGCTAATAAAATGCTTACACTGTGCTATAGAATTAACCTGTAAGAGTTTCTGTTTTACAGTTCGAACTAGTGCTCAGGTTGGTTCTATTTTTGCTTTTATTACTGTTGAAAAATTCCTTCGGATTACAGCTACACATGCAAACATGTCAAAAATAACATATTTTAAACTAAACCCACATTTCTAAAACCATTCATGGGAATAAAGCAGCATGTCACATTCACTAACTGCTCCCTAAAGGGGATTTTTTTTTAAGAAATCATTTGCATTTGAAATATCTTTTATTGCCTATCATTTATTTTGCAGATAGTGCCAGGAATCTCTTCCTGAGGGAGTTCTTTAGCAGCTAAAATACTGCCTCAGGGCATGTATCTTAATCTGACTCTTCTGAACAGCCTTGAAACAACAAAATAAAGAACAGCATTTTAAAGTCTTTTCAAACACAGCTTTGGAACTGCATCAGCATTTTGTACACATGTACACATGAACGTGTACTTCCATGGAGAGATAAAGATGTGGATCTAATAAAGCACAGCAACTTCAATGCAAAGACTTCCCAACTTCAATCGCTTTTGAATTGTGCGCATGCCCAGAAACCATCAGCAGCTACTTCACTTGTTTAATCAGCTCTTGTTTTCAGCCATCTCAAATGAAAGACCAGTATGATATGTTGTGGAGACTGGTCGGGGGTGGCAGTGGTAAATGGCAATTAAATCCTGTTTTGTATAAAATAGTTTGGGCTCTGTTTTCTGATAATTAACACATCTCTTCACAATTAGCACAACGAAGTGATTTCTGTACCCAGAAGTACAGCTGTAGTTATGAAGAATTGTGTGCTTTGAAAAAATGATTGGTAGATATTCCAAGCACTAATTAGGGATTTGCACAACATTCATCCTCAGATTAATGGAAAGCGCGTGGTGAAAACTGTACAAATCACCTGGAAAAATGTATCCTAAGCAAGTAAATACCTGTGAAGGGTCAGACTCTTGCATTTATATAGGGATATCCATGGGTATTAAGAGCACTGTTAATCCTAAGGAAGGATAATAAAATCTACCTTGTCTTCCATCAAATGTGAGAACTTTGAGAACTTTCAAGGCAATTTTTCATTCTCGAAATTTGTTCCCAGCATACTATTAGAAGTCTGCAGAAACATTCAGTGCTGGATAAGTCTTCCCAGTGTATTCAAAGTAATACTGGATGCAATATAAGAAGCAGTTTAGCCTTTTAAAAAAAACATCAGTTCAAAGTATTGTCAGCATAATTCAGGACACTAAATCACTAGTTAAATAGAAACATTTACTGACAGCTTGAGTACAAAGTTTTATTGTGAAGAGCAATGAATATAATGACCAGAGCTGTAGCCTCTTGGTCTAGCTAAACACAGTGGTGGCCTTGATGGGTATATGTGATTAAAATGTCATTGCCAGGACTAAGCTGGCAGATAAAAAGAAAACAGGAAGAGTCCACGAGGGCTGTTAAAGTTTTAGAGGGGCTTTATTAACCTCTGTCAGTATAGGTCTGAGATAGCCTTATTTACTCTGAAGAGGGCAAAAAAGGTCCATCAAAATTAATCAAGCTGTTTCTTTCTAAAGTTTAATAAAATGGAAGACCCTCACGAGCTGCTCCCAAATTGATAATCCATCTCAAAATTGTCTGAACCAACCAGCCTTAAAAGCAAAGATGTCCCTGTCCACACTGAAATAACTTGTGCAACTGGTCTCTTTAATCAAGTACAAACCAGCTTTAATTTCACTGTTTCGTAGCAGTATGTGTGCAGCAGAATGCCCCAGGTAGTCATCCAGCGACCCTCCTACAGTGCACACCAGACCTTGCGTTCCCACAGGAGCACTGCTCTTGCTACATAAATGCCCAGGCTGGGACAAACGAGCTATAATCCAGCTACACCTTCGGAGCAGCTCCAAATCTAAGTTACCGTTAACCAAGTTGTAAATATTCTCATTAGCTAGTGCTTTAGTCTAAAAAAAGAAAACTAAGTCTGGGTTTGGTGTTTCTGTTTCTTCTCTGCCATATTCTTTTCATGCTGCAAGATCCTGTTTGCTCACTACTACTCTTCTACAATAAACTTCTAGTTATTTCTGTGCCTCATTTCATACTTGAAGATCTTTGTAACTCAGTGTCATGGACAACAGGCTTTATAAGCTTTGATGAAATCATCCAGAAGTCTGGAGATTACTGCGCATGAAATGGAAATTTAAAGATTTTGGCAGCCAGTCTCCACCCCTCAATACTTGAAGAAGGGTACCACACTTCCCTTGATAGCTCTGACAAAAAAAAGAAAGCAAAAGCCAATTTATGTGTTCAGAGACTGGGTTAACAGACTGCAAAATCTTTGGTGAGAATTGTCTGGGAAATTCAGTGATCTTCTGAAGAAGCAGACAAGTGCTTCCTGGTACCCTCCTGCTCTGCATCTGATGCCAGCAGGTACTGGCCTGAATAAAATGACCCAAACATCTCATAGTATCTTGCTTCATCATGGCAGAAAAAATGGCAAGCGATATGATAGTGTTACAGTTACAGTCAGAGACTCAGAGCAGAAACAAGGTATTATTCTGGCTCAGCTGAATTCTGTAGTATTATATTACAAATTCAATAATTTCAAATGAAAACCACAGGGATTTTTACTAACAACCTCCTTTTATTATTTCAGCTATTTGTTTTCTCTTTACCTTTCAGAATGATCAGAGTAATACAATCTACATCCTTAAAAGGAAGAATAAGTGGCTACTAATCCGTGTAAAAACCCACTGGTGTTCTCCTTCTTTCACCAACTTTTAATATACTGGGACTAGAATGAAACAGTGATGTTTTAGTTACAACAATCAGGAAAAATGACAGGGACAGAGTTTATAGAGAGGGAAGTAAACCCACTCACAGAAAAAATGGGTAAACTTCTGTATTCTCCTTTATTTAGTCTTTTATTTAGTCTTTAGAGATGCTACTGTTATATCTTTAGCATAAGATATTCTTACATACAGCACACAGCGTTACAGGGTACTTGCACAATCTCTTCAATATGGTTAAACAGTCGTTAATTTTACTGCAATTAACAATGAGGACATGTGCACTGCTAGAAAGTACTTCATTACTCATGCGTTTGGGAATCAGAGTTGAGATAAAGTGCAGGAGGGCAGGGCATATTTTATTTCATTCACCAGATAATCCCTGTGTGCTGGGTGATGAGGGAGTTGCCATGATCAGTTCACCTTTTTGTTGAGAAAAAGTAAATTAGTAAGCAGGAAAGTATGCATTGTCTTGTCAGGTTTTACATTAAGGCTGCCTCAGGCTACCTACCCTTCATGTGCATGCTTTCCTCTAGGTCAGAACTTCTTCC